TCCATCCTAAAAATATCAGATGACGATCAGCGTATATCAATGCAGCTCCCAGAGTGTTTTAACATATACATACGTAGGTGGATTCCACCCAAAAAGATTAAAAGAATCAGCATTTCAAAAATAAAAATTGTGAATGGAATACTTTTTCCCAGAGTGTAAACAGATGGCACTATTTCTCTAGCAGCGGTTGTGGCGGTAGGTAGAGTTAGTTCGAAGACGTGACAGAGCGAATGAAATGGCAAGACGTTTAGAAAATTAATCTCACTTGGAGGTGCGAGCCGTGATTCGTTATCCTGATCAAGTACCTGGAGCGTGGCCATACCAATGCTACCCATCGTTATTGTGCCATTTTGACAAGGTTACGTGAAGTCATCCGACGCAAGCGCCCTCACATGTTGCGTGATGGTGTCATCCTCCTGGATGATAATACCCGGCTCCATACTGCCCAAACTCAAGAAATGCTGCAAAAGTTTAGGTGGGAAGTCTGGAATCACCCCCCCTCCATATAACCTAGTTTAGCACCCAGTGACTATTTACTTTTACTGAAACTAAAAATTTTTGGAAAGAGGTTCTCTTCAGACAGTGATGTTAAAACAGCTATCGAAGAACTAGCTGAATGGGATTTCTCCCAAGCCGAGTCAAGCAAGTTGGTCCTGCGTTCACATAAATGTGATTTCATGATTATGTGGAAAAATGGCAGGCAAGTGTCTACTAATTCCGTTTTATAATTTCTGTTTATTGTTCATAAATAATTTTTTGTTACCCTTGTAGCCTTTTTTTTTTTTTGGAACCACCCTCGTAGATATGTAATATAATATGGAATATCTTGATGATTGGGCGATAGCTGCAATGTAATCGAGATGGTGGCGTAGTGACGACTTGGTGAAGGCTTTTCAAGATACAAAGATGAAATTTACAGATAGGCATGGCGAAAGACAAAACATGTTTTATTGCTAGAACACTTCATTCTTGATACACAGGTTCTTCTTCATACTTTATTTTGGGGGCGATATGCACCTCACAGTTTTGTATAGCTTTCAATAATAGTATAAAAAAATTAAAATTAACCAATCAAAATACAAAACCGAAACTAAGTAACTTTAAACGGATATTTCAACTTAGACATGTTGCATTCGCTCTCTGCTTCCCCAGCTAGTTAGATTGCTGTTGCCTTTCTTCTTACCTCAACATCTTCAAAAATGTAATTAAGAAGATGCACGGGTATTTCGTCTTTTAACTGTGGTGGCTTGAAAACATGCTTATAAGCAAGAATAAACAGAACACGTAGCAATGCTGTTCGTTTATTCTCCTTGAAAAACTAATGTTAGCGATAATGTCTTCTCGTTCTAAAATTGGTTATGACTGCAACTGGTTTGGGCTTCGCCATATCAATGACTTTTAAATCATTACAAACACGTACATACATATATATGTACGACAAATTAGAGTTTCCTACAGTGTTGAAAATTTATAGTATCATTAACATGACAAATACTGTAAAAAGATGTATATCAGTACAGAAAGAATCTCGTCAAATTTTATATGTACCTTATATTTACCCATTTGAAGATACCACAGATTTCGGTCTCAGCTGACAAACTCAGTTTGCTTATTGCTTTTGCATTGCACAGACATTCTTCTTGAGCTTCCTGTACCATGCACAAACTGTCTTGCTTGTAAGGAGCTTCTGTTTTATATTTCATACGAAACATTCGTTATATTGTCATAATCAACTCAAATTTAACGAATTCTAACATGCAGGAGGCTTTTGTGTTGACTAGTGAATACCATTCTTCTTTACAGTGACACATAGTGACTAAATTTACAGTTATGTAGAATCTGTGAATAATGTATTGACGAAACCAGATTTGGACATTTTCCCTCTAGGTTATCGACAATAAATAGAGCTTTCTTTTGTTGCGGTCATTTAGGTATATGCATGCTTCATCAAGGGTTACAATGTATTTCCGTTTATTTCCTGCTAAACAGTTTTCATGCAGCATTCTTCAAATTGTTCTGCGTTGAGCCCCATGTCTCAGCGAAGCCTGGTGAACATTATGTTTCATAACTTTTTTAAGCTGTAAATCTCGGTTTATTATTTTACATACTGTTGTTACAGCTGTATTCCAACATTTTGCAACTGATTTCTGCGTAAGCGGATTTTCTCTTGTTACCAACTGTTTAATTTTATAAACGTTAAAAACGGTACCTACTTTTTTCGGGTATTCGTTTGGAGTTTTCATTTCCTGTAGAAGTAATGACTTACAATTTTTACTTTCCCGATTAATAATGTTGCTTATTTTGAAAAATTAAAAATTTTAATACTATGCATTTTACGACGTTTTCATATTATGGAATAGGAATATTTATCTTTGGAAAGTGCAAAAACTCATCCTTCAATACCCTGTTTACATGCGGCATTTTGAGAGAATAAATTTAAAAGTAACTGACGATATTTCTCATTTCAAATTATGAGCTGTTGCCGGATATTTTTATTCCAAAACATTTGCTTGTTTGATTTCTGTATTAAAATCGTTCTAAAAATGGATAAGTGTCCTCTGTACCGTATTATCTATATGTATCCGAAATAGTCTTAATATGTGTCACATTATTTTAGATCAAGCTCTTATTATAGTGATTTTATTTGTTTTTATTTTATTTTATTTATTTATTTTGTGAAAATCTGTAAATCTGTTAAGAATTCCAAATAAAGTACCGTTTCCGATTATCATAAATAGTCAAAATCCAGTATGTATCAAAATCTAGTAGTTCTTCCAGAGGCCTACCAGCGGCCGAGCGGTTAAATCGCTCAATGCTGATAGTTCGGTCTTACGCAGAAGGCCTTCCAGGCTTTGGCGTAATCACGTAAACCAAACGAAGCTAATAGTAAGAAGCAGTTTTAAATACCAAGTTTTAGAAGTTTTTCATTATATCGTAACATATTTTTTTCACAAAAATCTCTTCAGAGCTTCAAGTAAAGTGTGATGTCAGTGAAAACTCTATCGAATTTGTGGACCGGAAATATTGCCTCCTTTATGTATAGGTTGACGGGAATTAAGAGCATTACACATTCCGAAGTTGCAGACGTATCGTTTCTTCCAGCTGCTCTTAAGCAGACGCGGAACAATGATAGCAAATGAAGCACCTAACGCTATTTCTCGGTGGAAAAGGGAGAAACAGTTAAACGATTAAATTTTTTTAATATACTAAATTTATTTGGGATTTTTTTTTTTTTATCATCGATCAAAGAAGAAATCTTTTGTTATTCTCTAAGAACATGGAATTGTTGTTGCTTTTAGTTGATCATCCTATAAATAAATTTCATTAAGTATTTCATTTCCTAACTTTTTAGAGCTTTCTCGAATATGTTGCTTGGCAATGATGCTGGATCGAATTTCTTAGGCTATTACCTTTGTAAACATTCTACCTTTACTCTTTTGCTAAATATTTCCTCTTTTGAGTAAAGAGACCAGCTACTTGTTCTCAGCCTTGCTGTCAGATACGAGACCAGAGACGGTCGTCTTACTGTGCCTTTGAATGCTGTAACTGGAACCTAAATAAAACCTTTTTATGGTATTTTATGATACTGATAAGTCACAATGTTTTCCCTATAAAATGACTGTGAATATCTTCTACTAGACATAAATATTTATACCAAGCATCAAACAAAAGGACGACATTATTTGTAACCAAGCGTGAATAGACAGTTGTTACCAAATGTCACAAATTCTGGAAAGTAGGAATCTAACGGAGATGGTTTGGAATTTTACATTCACTTGTATATTTATTTATTAATGCAATTAAGCACAGATTCCATATTAATGGACGATAATGCTAATCTGCGCAGTACGCAGTTTGTCAGAAGATAAGTGCACAGTTAATTATTTCTGAGATGCAATGACCTGTTTGATAGCGAAACTCGAACTCTAACAGTTAGTTGGACAGGACTATACCTGTACGCCCAATGGTTGATTTGTAGTATCCCGTCCAATTCTGTCTGTACGTGTGCCTGTCGCAATGATTCGCCATCCTACTTTGTATAGCGGTTAGCAATGCCGTCTGCCGTATCGTTGAGCTAGGGCTCGAATCCGGGAGAAGGCACAATACTGGAGAGCCGAAAGTTCTCTTGAGTGGTTCAGCGATAGAAGAGGGGTGAAAGACCCTCGGATCCATCCCTACTCCCCGTGATATTCTTCATCAAAACTGGGACGGAACGGCACAGTTAATGCAGCGGTATTATATCTGTACGAACCGTGGTGACCGTGGTTGTCTGATGCAGTGTCCCGCCCACTTCTACCTGTACTTGCAGCAATGGTTCTTAACCCTCTAAGCGGCAAGGAATCCTAGACTATTTTTTGTGATAACTGTAAGAACGTATACATACATGCATATTAAAATATGGCAAAGAAATCAAGGGAGTATATCAAAAGAAAACAAAACCAGGTATGAAATACCAGGAGAACTTTTACATTAAAATCAAAAAGTAATTAGTTCTCATAGTAGTTTGGGGAAAGTTGTGCTTTCTGAGCACAAAACCCTGGCCGCTCAGAGGATTAAACTTTGAATTCTTTTATATGATGTGAATTTTGCTTTAATCATAAACTTTTAAGTTGAAGCTTTTGCTTAGTGCAAGGCTAAGTATCTACTTCTTTCCTGTTTTATTTCAGACTGTAAGATTGTCTGAAATGTAACAGATCAAAGACAGGTTTGTTTTTAAATATATGCTTGAAATATTTTGTTCAACTATGGGATACAGAAAATTAGCGTATTTTGAATTTAGAAAGGGTGCAATGAGTTTTACCCAAATATTGTATTACTGCATTATTTGAAGGGTTGAAGCATTAAACTTTAATCTGTTTTAAAAGAAACTTTTATAAATGTAACTGTGATTTAACAGAAGGTTTAATTGTCATTCAATAATTCAGTATACAATGTGATATTAAAATTGTTTAATTTATGCACGAGATTTTGTCAGAAAAGAAAATGAAAAGGAAACAAAATGTATTAAAAATATTTATCAATTCAATTTGAAACTTATATTCTAATTTAATACCAACACCTTTGATTAATTTGAAAATAGCAATCCAATTACAATACAATATCTTTGTTTCAAAGAATTAGTTCACCGAAATCTCAAAATGATTCTGAAAATGAGAAATTTATGAATATAGGAAAGAATATGTATGTTTAAAACCTTTACATTTATAACTTTCAGTAAAAATTTCATTCGAATGCAACAAATGCGTCTATAAATACAGAAGCATTTAAAATCGACAATTTTAAGTCAGATCTTGAGATTTTGACTAAATCTACGCCAAACGCAAGGTTGTTGCCTTGTTAATTTTAAATTTCCAGTCAGTTGTGATTATAATTGTCTAAATACAATTAAGTTCACATACAGTTGCCAGGCTAAATGCTTATTTTCAAATAAATTATTAACGCGTTTCACACATGAAATATGTATCGCGCATAAAAATGACAATTAATTATAAAGTACATACATCCATATATTACATTTTTGTTTTATTCAAAAATCGTCATGAAACATCACGTCTAAGCAAAGTGATATGTTAACCGAGGTCTTAACCATTCTTAACCAATTCTCAGTTTTTCTAGTCTTGAGTTCTGAAAACTTCGTAAGTGAGCATTATAGTGAGTCTAAATGCACCTGCATAGTTTGATATTATTTAAAAACATCCATTAGAATTGACGAAACAAGATTTATTAGATATTACGGTTATTTTAAATCTTAAATCAAGATCTTCAGCGATATTTGACATTATTCATCACGATAAATAACAGCAGCGTTTCTCAACCATTTTGTCATCGTAGAAGAAGCCTTAAAGTAATGAGCATGTCCCAGAGATTCCTGAATAAAAATTATTTAATGTAAATGGCATATCTCGTCTATATGTCATAAATATTAAACTTATAAATGAAACACAGTATATTTATTTCCAATAGCTCATGTAAGTAAAATATAATTTGTGTTTTTCTCAAGCCTAATGAGAAGGGGGAAAAAAAAGCCCTAAAAATGACCTGTATCTAAGGTTTAAGGAACCTTAGACAAAGATCTTCATTCTAGCAAAAATTTAACCACACACTTTATAAATACCAAAAATAATAGAAATTGCTAATATTGGATATAAACAGAATGAAAACAGGTTCTTATTATACAAAAACATATTCGTTTATCAACAATGTTGAAAGGTGGGAGATGAATCAATATCAATTATGTTAATTTAATTAAATTGCAATAATTAGTATAATTTTGTACGTCAAAGTTAAGTTAACGAAGTTATGAGTAAATAATTAACCTATCCATTACTATTTTTACGAATATTAATACGAATTTTTACGAGTTTACTTACGAGTTTTCTTCTAGGAATAATACGATTTCGGAGAATTTCGGTTGAGAAACGCTGCACTAAGTAATGCAGAAACTATATGAAAAGAAAAAAAAAAATTGCTTTAAATTTTGAAGAAAATGTTTGGACTACTCCTATCATTCATAATAAATTAAAAATAATAGGAAAAAAACAGCATAATTTTCTTCAAGGTAGTTGCAGTTTTACAGAAATTCCATTAATAGCTTTGCCGTCTAATTCTGGAGATGAATTTTACACAAAAATAGTTCATCTGAAAGGCACATAATGTAATCGAAACATTTCGCCTCTTCATATATCAGCTGTATCATTTATTTTGGCTAATATAAGATGCTTTTCTGGAAGCTTCATGTCAAGTCGATTTCACTGACAAATTGATTGAAAAAAAATCTGTCAGTAAAACTGCAGTTTTGTACTGAATGCTTAACTTTCGCTCAGACTTCTTCGTTCGATTTAGCTTCTATAACAGGGCTTTGAGAGTGCGTAGGAGAGGAAGTAAATTCAATATCTGGAGGTAATGTTTTGCTTTGATCATTCGAAATCTTTCTAACAACAGGAATGAAAAAGAGCATCATCCCGCTGAATGCAATCATTCCTCCTGATACATAAAAACCAGAATCATAAGATCCGGTGTAATCATGCAACCAACCTGTAAATAAGAAAAACAAATTACAGCAACTGCAACAATTTACTTTAGCAATAAAAATGTGCTTAATATATCGCTCTTATAAATGGTTTTTTATTGATTATATTATTCTATTTTAATACAAAAAAAAAAAAAAAGAAACTCTCTCATTTCCTTAAAAGAGACAGTTTTTCCTAAATTTAGATAACTATATAATTTTAAAGCAGTCTTTTGTACTTTTATTATATTTCATAACACAAGGGCATACTTATAAAAAATTCATCGGCTATATATTCATTTTGTAACGTAATTGCACTGCCTAATTTTGTCAATATACGTATTCCATAAATAAAGGTATTCTCTTGGATTACGGAAACAGTCTGGTACTCTGTGATGCATTTGTTATTATTTAAGTTCAGCTATATTTCCTAAGTAGTATTTCAGTACATTTTAATCATGTTTTCCCTAATAATACAACATTATTTAAAAAACAATCTGATGTGAACACCATATGGAACTTCCTTGTATGGCCTATATATACATTATTTCCTGCATTTCATTTGAATTTATTTCCTCGAGTTTGATTAGAGGTATATTTCGCATTCAATCAATTCAGTTCTCCCTTTGTGGCAAGGCAAAATTAGATAAAATCTCAAAACATGGTCATTAAAAATTGCAAAATACAGAAAAATTCTAAACACATTTAAAAACAGCTAATTTTTTTACGATTAAAATTAGAGTTTCTATGCAAAACAAGCAATTCGGCCAGCGGGCAAGAAAACAGATTTTTTTAGGTGCACAAAACTGAAAGTTTACTTTTGGCCCCACTCTGGAAAAAGACACTGAAGTTGGTGCAGAGTCTCCAAATGTACAAATGGCGGCTTATGGTCTTAGTAGAACTTTAACGACTTTTAAATAGTTGATAATTCTACAACTATTGCATGCAGATTACCTAGAGACATAAAAACCTTAACCGGAACATAAGAACAACATAATTCAATTACTTTTAAAGAAAGATGCACAATTTACAAACATATAATAATAAAAAAAAACTAAGCTCACCGAGACGGGCAAGAGAATGGGTACTTTTGGTGCGGTTGATTGAACCGAGAAGGGCAGTGCACAACTACATGTTATAGCGGTCTCATATACAAAATTTCAATGTTCTGAGGCTACTTGTTTTTTAGTTATACGAGATACATACATACGTACGCAGACGTCACGAAAACATTTCTTCTGAATCCATTTTAAATCCATTTCACAATCCGTTTTGAGAAAAAGAGTCCTTTATTCTGTCTATACATACAGATGTCTCGCAAAAAATCGTTCAAATAGATTCGAGAGCGGTCAAAATAGATATTTTCGTTGAAATATCATACTGAAATTTTTAGCGATTGCGATATTTCCTTTATTTCGTACAAGGAAGTAAAAAAATTAATTTAAAGGGTCAGATTCAAGCGCAATTAATATCACGTTAATATATAAAAACTGAGACATTTCTCTTTAATTAATTAGTTTCGAACCCACTTTTAATAAATGTAAAGAAGAATTCCAAAATTCTGGGAAATTCAGAAATTTCCACAGCCTCATCGTTCAGCATAGTTTTCACTGGTTGCCAAATAATTTTAAAAACGAATTATATATCAGGAACATTCTAAATTCTCCAAATAATAAGGTCAGCTATGTTATTGTAAAAGAGAGATTTTTTTTTTTTCTGTTAGACCAGCAAAAAATTGGAAAATTTATGTCAAAAATCGTGAATACGACCGACATTATTGACAAGTGGAGCAGCTATTAAGAGACATAGTGTTAGTATATCTACGGTGTCTATAGGAATGTGAGGAACAAAAGATGACGGTAGCTTTCAAATAGTGCACAGGTATAAAAGTTTTGCTGAGCAAAAGCGCGACATTTACACAAGTTCATAGTTGCATAAAAATTCACCACGGTGATAAGTGTATGACTAGTAAATTGGTCAAGGAGATGAAATCCGGCGTCATTAATTTAGGGGATTCTTCTCTCAGGAATCACAAAAAATCGTTTAGAGCAGTGATTGTCAGCATTTTTAAAGCTGCCGCCCCCATAAGGAGCGGAAAATCTTTCAACACCCTCCTTTATGAAAATCCTGTAATTTAGGGTTTAGGGAAGGGAGTAAATGTAACAATTTTTAAGTAAATTTTTTTTCAATAGATTTTTTGTAGAAACTTCAAATTTTTTTGATTTAACTCGATACTTTTGCTCTGGAAGGTAAATGCAGTCTTTTTGATAAAATTAAAATGATGATGCCAAAAAATGCTTAAATGCTCTTTTATATCTAATTTTTTTTTAATTAAATAATTTAAAAAGAAGAACAGAAAGATTGCACTAAATGAGTAATATCAATGAAACAATCAAAAGTAGGACAATGGGATGGTTGTGCTTAATGGTTCAGATCTAGTTTTTGAACCGTTCGGATCAATACTTTTAGAGAGACGAAGGCTCAATTTTTCTCTTTCCACGATTTGACGACTTCTCTTTTTTGTAATTAGATCAATCACATCACTGAATGTTCCTCGACAAAGTACGAGGAAGAAAAGGCAATTAAAACCTTTTTGATGATATCCTGAGTAGATTAGCCTGGTGTTACTTTGAAGCCAGAATTCCGTGAGACGATCACCATTTTGGAAGCTGGCTTTTGAAGTATCATTAGTTGAAAGTTCGACCAGTTCTTTTTGAATCTGAACCTCTGCTTTCTCAGTGTTATCTGCTGTGCATGACCCATTATCTGCTGTGCATGACCATTTCTCAGTATTATCTGCTGTGCATGAGAATATTCTGTGTCTGGAAGTCGCTCAACAAGAGAGAATTCCAGACACAGAATATTTTCAAAGCGCTCAAAAAAGTCCTTGTGCAAAGATTCAAGGTATTAATCAACAGTAAACTTGTGTTTCACCGAAGGAGAATTTACTGCTGTTATGCAGATCCGACAAGACTGGAAACTGGCCTAACTCGTTGCGTCCAAATTCTGCCTCCACAAAATGAGTTTCGAGGAAGGCAGATATAATACATTTCGTTGTGATCAAATTGAGCTATTTGGCATATTTCTAAAAGAATGAAACTATTTAAAATGATGCGATTTCATCAAAAAAGATAAAATAAAAAAGAAAATCTGATTCGAATTTTGAAAAAATCGCTTCGAGGTGCACTGGCTCTTGTCTAGATCCACTTATGTACCAAATTTCGTAACCCTGGTTCTCTTGGCTTAGGCGCAGCATGAAAAAAAGACCCAAACCCCACAGACAGACTCTTTCTTTTATTATATGTAGAGATTACAGGTATGGAAAACTTCGCCTCACAAGCCGCATGCAGCACTGTGCCTTCTTATCTGCAGTTCGCGGGCCACATCGGTTCCTTAAACCCCTTTCATACGACTTGTTTTGCCTTGATTTTTAATATAATTGAATTTCGAAAGAGAAATCGCAGTGACACGTTTCTTTAACAATAGAAAATTATTTTATATAAATTACATTTTGCGTGTAATAGTTTAATTCATTTCAAATTGTATACTGTGTGTTAATAGAAAAATTAACAAACAAAATGGCAAATAATTCCGTTTATGCGAATTTCTAAAGTGGCTATTGTATTTTTAGATTAGGTAACGGTGACTGGACAATGAACGAATTCGAAAGTCATACAAAAAGTAAATTTGCTCGAATTATTATTTTTTTAACCTCAAGTTTATTCTATTTCAGGCATTTTTTTCATGATAGTCCTTTGATGAAAGCCTCTTTTTTCTAGCCACTATTCATGTTTTGAAAGATTTGCATTCCTTGTTCATTCGTTACTGATTCTACTATAATGTCTGACGTCTAATAAGTACGAAATGATATTCCGTACCTGATACTACTTTCATTCAGTCCCAGAATAGCCTAGGTAAATAAGTACGAAATGATATTTCGTACTTGATACTACTTTCATTCGGCCCCAGAATAGCTTGGGTGATCTTTGAAAAAGAGCTAATGTAGTAGCTCTTTCAAATTGGGAAACAGTTTGATTATTGGTAGCCTCATGTTTAGATATTATAGATGGTAAAGTAAAATTTCTCACTCGCACTTGGCTAGCAGATCTGTCGTGGTATAAGGACACAACCTTACAACGTGCAGGTGTTTATTAGCACTCAAAATAAATTGTTCATCTCTAAGCAAATAAGGCCTTTTTATGCAATTTTCTATACAAGGTTTACAGCCATTGACATGCTTCATTGATACTTTTTACACATGGGACTCTAGCTTTCTTGATGATTAATTCTATGCAGAGATCATTAGTTACTTCGCCTAAGACTGACCATGGAAAAATTTAGGATCATGAAGAAGACGAATATCAAAAAAAATTTCATCTCTGGTTCAAAGTCTCTAATTCTTGCTTCGTCAATAGCGAATATTACAAAAGCTATTTTCCTCCTTTACCCTCAGATTTTCATTTCATCAACGTTACATCAAATAGTAAGGAAATAATCGTGCAACATTTATTTTTTCACACAATTTCTCGCAAAATACAGCCTTGAGTCAATACGACTACAATAATAACGTTATTTTTACATAAAAGTAGATTTTAAAATTGAATTTCAAACTTTTTATTTTCTCTTAAGCAAAAATAAGTAAATAAATGAAATTATTCTTTTCTAATTACAAAATAAATTAGGTTTATACTTTTATTACAGTTACCATTTAAACTATTGATACAAATAATGTCCCATGAATGAAGAAGAGAAAGGAATGCTAAAATAATTTAGTAATCATGTGTATTTCTGCATTCGATGACAAAAAGGATAAAATTGTTTTCAATATTAAATATTTAACCGATGTAATCAAAACTCAGTTACATTTTTGTTCTTGTGGAGTCTGTCAGAAGGATGATTTTTATTTTTTAAATGTAATATGATTTAGATGTATTTAAACACCATTTTTTTTAACTCTATCATTTAAACAACAAGTCTTAACAAGTCAATATTTAGTTTTCATGACATTTCAAACGATATTACAAACTTCATTTTTTCCATACATTTCTAAAAGATGAAATAATAGAAAACAGATGACTTTTCAAAAGTTAGAGATAACTGTGTAGGGATTTATATTTATTTTAACTAACAATTTAAAGTTTAATTTTAAAATTTCCTATAAGCCTTCATTCTTCTAAATGTCAATACAAGAATATTTAAATTTGGTAGCGCGCGTGAAAGAATGCAAATTCTACCTGTGAAGAAAGAGTTTAAAAACCGAGGTTCAGAAGGAAAGTTAGAGAGAGTTAGGCTATTGCTGTTACTTCAGTAGCGTGAGCTTCTACTGCCGGAGTTATTGCTGGTTTAAGTGGTATAAGAGCATTTACTTTGCAGCCACTCATTTAGACGCGGGTTTAAGAAACAGGAATATCTGAGCCCTGTAGTGTAATTTCTATTACTTGTGAACATCTTCGAATTTTATTTTAGTTCTGTGATTTCAGTTACCGTCCAAGGGAAGTGTAGTGTGTTAGCGTCGAGATGACGCATTGTAAATTTTAAAGAGTTTAATAAAGCGTACTTTTAACCCTTCTCCTGTGCAGTTACTACACGTACAATTGTCACTTAGGAGATAAGCAAGTAGACCCTACAACTACTTTACGGATTCATGAATCCAATCAGCTTTTTTCATCCAAACAGTATCAAATTATTGCATTATTCAACCACATTTGTCTTTGAAATGCTAAATAAGAGAGTATGTTTAAGTTATTTATAAAATTATTTAAAAGTTATTTTAATATTACTCAATTTTTTTTATAAATGCTGCGAATGACAGTTTAATAATCAGAAATAGTGAATATTTATTTATTTATTTACCTGTGATTGGGGGACCAATTAGGCAGGCGACTCCTTCAAAAACTAATAAAAGTCCAAAAGCATTGGTCAATTTGTCAAGTCCTAAAAGATCTACCAAAATGACGGATGTTAAGCTTACATAAGCGCCTGTAAAATAAATATTTTATTAAAATTTAAACTTAAGAATTGTTTTATTTCTGCAATGATAAATTAAATTAATACGAAGTGAACTCACCTGCCGTTGCTCCAAAAACAGCTGCATAAAGAGCCATGAGATAATAATCCCGACAGAAGGAACTAAAAGCTGTAGCAAGACCACATAAAGTGAGACTAGCATTGTATAACCAAAGTCTGTTGATACAGCTACGGTCTGACAAATATCCTAAAATGACTCGACCAACAGTATTCGCTATACCAATCACAGACAGCAAATAACTCGCATAATCTTCTTCGGCTATCCCCAGGCCAACGGCTCTGTCTTTCGTGTAAACAAAGGGAACATTAAATCCAATATTTGTGAAAAAATTCGAAAAACCAAACATAAGAAATATGACATCAGCCATAAGTCGAAAGTTCATCATTTCCTTGAAGGCTTGTTTCATAGTTGGCGGGAATATATAATTAAGAATTCGCGCTAGAATTGTGGCTTCTTGAGTGTCTATTTCTTTTGCACCTTCATCCTCTACTTGCATATCGTATAAATAAAGATTAGAGGATTGGTATTCAGGAAGGTTGCGAATACTGCCACTGTAAAAGATATCTTTGCGAGCCAAAGCTCCAGTTCGTAAGCGTACGGAAGATCGTCGAGACGAATTTGTTCCGCAGCTGAGTGTCATGGAAGTTGCATTTTGAATTTGGTAACTGGAAGACGGATGCTGAGTATAGTGATTAATACCGAGTAATGATGCCGAGTGCTTCTTTAAATTTTCAGATTTGAGTGGAGCCAGAGAAACTTCGCCGTTATTTTCTAAAGTACCTGGAAATTAATAAGCAGCTATTATTCCTTAATGCATACATTTACCAAAATGCTACAGACAAAATATTACTAAGAAATTCAGGTAAAAAAAAAAAAAGGGTAAACAACTTATCACATGTTGAGACACATACAGATATGAAGTTTATAGTTTAGGTCAAAATTAATTTGATAACAAAATTAATTTCACATTTTTCTTTTCTCACCAGTTTAAAATTCTTTTCTCACCAACAGTCCGCTATAATTTACTAAAATATCTGCAATTTTGTTTACTTCTAGAATTTATAAAGCTTTTTCAGTTTTGTTACACTTTCTGTTGCACATGTTACAAACTAAAAAAAAAAAAAAAAAAAAAAAAAGATTACAATAGTCAGTTAATTAATGTCGTTAAAAAGCGTATTTAACATATGCCAAAACCTAATGAATTTGTCTTTGAATTAAAATCAAAAGTGTTTCCATACCATTTGTATAATGATAAAACTATTTATGTGATCATTTGAAAATGGCTTTTAGTTAGTTATGTTTTTCAAATGATTAGGATTAGCACATTATTATAAGAAGTTCTGTTTTAATATGGATTAAAATGTGGGATTGAACTACACAGCATACAAAGTTACAGAAAGATATGTTATCAGTGTGCAGAAACTTAGATTTTATTTTCTGACAGCAGCGGAAAGCTGTATTTATATTGTATATGAAAGTATTTATACGAACAATAGCATAAAAATTAGAAAATGCATCACCAATGAGTGAACTTAAAATAAAAATATCTATTTGCCAAACTATCGTCGAAGAGAAAGCACTCTGATAATGAAGAATATTATTGCACTATATTCAAATACAGTAAATCGTAGAAAACTTGCAATAACTTTGCAAGATTTTATTTTAAATCAGCAGTTATTTTTATGTTAATACTTTTTATGGTTCCATTTTTTATGTTTTAAGAACAAAAGGGCAGTAAAGCACGCTTAGTTAACTTATGATAGCTATCAGTGGCGTAACTAGAACTATTGGGCCCCTATGCAAAAAACTTTTCCTGGGCCCTTTCCCAATAAATTTAATGTGCTTAAAAATAAATAAATAAATAAAAAACGCGAAAATTAAAAAAAAAAATCAAGGATTCCAGGAGCCAATGTTTTCATGATGATTTTTATCACATCTGGATTAATTGTTAAAAAAATAAAAGCACGTTCTTAGGGAACTAGTTGAAAGGTACGTAACGTGAAGAAACAATAAAAAGGAAAATAATTTCCCTTGACCAACTGGTGAAATGAAAATTTGCTTTAGTCTGGGTATTTGGCGTCAGATGATTTTAATTCAGTTAACACTTTTTGTGTGAGTGCGAGAGACAGATTTTTCTCTCCTTTCACTGAGATGCATACTGATAATAAATGAATAAGTCTATATAAAAAAAAGGAACATGTCGACATATAGCTTTAAGAAAAGGAAGAAAATACGTGTACTGATTATTTGATAATGCGAATTATACAGAAACAAATTAATATATAAAATAAGTACTTTATAATAAATAGTTATAATTAATTTCCACTTCCTCCGCTTTTTGATATGGGATTGCAAAAGAAGAAACCTTTCCTTTAGGGGGTCGCCTTTAATAATTTTCAGGTTTGAGACTAAGGAATACAAAGAAACTTTTCCTATTTTCCGCTCACTGCTATCCCTAAACTCGGGTAGGTCATGAAGTTATTATTTCGTAGTCGAATGCTAGAATTTTAACTTTTGCAAGCACTTGAATTTAGCTGTTTCAGGTGCTTCCAAGGGCCTTCTATCTGCGTCATACAGAGAATTGCGTTACTGCACCATACAGGTAGGGGGCCCTTAAAAACTTGAAAGAAAACGAATTCTATTATCTACATATACTTGAAGATTCTAAAGCTAAAAGTAAATTGGAATCAAATGAAGGCTATTCCTCAACTATATTAATATTAACAATCGTGCAAAAGGGGTTTAACACAAAATCAAAACATATTAAAATTAAAATAAGAATTTATAGTAGTACAAATTCTAAAAATAAAAATGAAAAGCAAAAGGAAAAAAAATACAAGATAAAGAATATAAAAATAATAATTAATCTTCTTTTATTGAAATTCTAATTCCGAACTAATCAAGGGAAAATGAATTAAAGCTTCTATATATATGTAATGGAATCCGTCTTTTAAGTTTAAACATGTAAATGTAGTTCAGCAGGACATTTAAGGGCCCCCTAAGCCTTCGGGCCCCTATGCGACGGCATTCCTTGCATACCCTTATTTACGCCACTGATAGCAATATTGTTGTCGGTTTACAGAAAGACTGTCTTATTTTAGCTACTCTTCCTGATCTGCTGAAAAGAACTAAAGCCCGTCTGGTGAAATATACTACTTGAAATTTCATATTTAGTTCAGACAGTGTAAGTGCCTGATAGCCTAAGGTTAGGTAGTTTATTTTTCTGTGTGTCTAAAGTTTTCCAGTTTAATTTTGATTTCTTCCTGTTAAGTAACGGTGCATAAGTTGTTTTGCATTTTTGGTTTGCATTTTTTCTGCAGTTGTAAAATAAACTTTATAAGTATACTTAAGTTTTATACTTTTTATTTAAAAGAAATAGTTGTAGCAATGACTGTAATTTTCTTTGTTTATAAGTTTTAGAAGTGTTAAAATCTTACGTTGAACTTCAGTAAAATAATAACATCAGAAGATAACTGAGTGCAAAATGATACAGTTCCACAGCATATTATAAAGATTTTTACCGTTTGGTAAGGATCCCTTTCTTAGATTTCCGTTACAAGGTAGATTCGAAGAGATGGAGAATCGTGTCATTTTTCTGACTATAGGTTTTTTCTCTAAAGGTCTGAAAAGTGCACCAAAGACGCAGCAGTTGAGTACGAATCCTGCTGTAACAAGCATTGCACCTTGCCATCCGAAACTATCTACCAACAATTCTGTCACTGGCGCCAACACAAAAGTTCCGATGCCAGATCCACAGACTGCAATACCAGTCGCGAATGCTCGTTTCTTTTCAAAATAACAGGTTACACAGACTATTGCTGGAAGATACATTAGGCCGAAACCCGTTCCTAAATAAACAAAAAAATTCTTTTAATTCATGTATTTTAATTTAAAAATAATTTAATTGTAAATAATCTGTATCTATTAATACTACATGTAAAATATACAGATTAGTTTTACGGGAAAACTACTGATAGCTGCAATTTCTTTTTTCCAATCAATATATTTATGAGTTACAGGTAAATAAAAAACACGGATTACGTTTAAAAAATAAAATGAAAATGAAAATGCTTTGGCACTACGTATTTTCCTTTTAGTGCAAATTGATAGGGTAAAACACATTTCAGAACAAACTGTTTCCAGGTAATCTGCATTAATTATTTTTGACAATGAAATTTTTAAAAGATTTATTTATAACACTACAAAGCAAACGTCAATTATTACAATATACGAGTACTTACTTATCTATACGGATTATATTTACAATTTTTGTCATATTTTAAATGATGAGTAATCTTATTTCGATGCTTTAAATTCTGTCTCGTTGCAGAGTATTAGCTATGTCCTATTAGTTAAGTTACTATTAGTTAAGTTAGTTTTTTGAAAGGAAAAAAACAGTTAATTTTTAACTCATTATGTCCAGCAATAATGTTTAAAAATTCTGTCTTAAACGTTTCTCATTTAAAGTCACATAAAAGAAATAACATGGACTGGTAATTACAAAAGAAACTTTAAAATTTTTATGACAATTAATAATTTAAATTACTGAACCATTTTCCATTAATATTTTAAAAAAGGGGGAGTTGAGATATCATACATCGTATATAATCCTAAGTTTTTAAGCTTCTAAAATAATATAAGCATCAGTAATTTAATGGAGGAGAGGATTTGAAAATTTGGAAACTTAAGTAGTAGTATAGAACTGAAAGACTTGTCTTAGGATGTAATACAGAACCTCACATATTTCAATACACAGTATACTGGTGTTTCCTTTTTTCTAATTTAGCAAATTTCTGGTAGAGTTTTTTACCAAAAGCAGAATTCAAACGACATAATGTCATCACTAATTTACATACATGAAATCATTTGGATAAACATGAATTTATTTAACAGTTTACTATTTTAAATTTACATTTAGAGAAAATCTTTTGTGGCGAACCATATTTATAAGTGACTACGTATTTTTAGGACATCAGTAAACATCAGTGTTGGCAATTATAATATTATTCTCTAAGAAGACCACTCCTTTTTGCGATTGACAGCGTGAAACATGTGTTCAGGTGACAAACAAAAAGTCTGAATTGGTTATCATATTAAAATATTAGAGGTACTAAACAAATAAAAGAATTATATTTGATTCCGATTTTTCAAGCTAACCTTCTTTCATGGAAAATATTAGTTATTTATTAAATCAGTGTCTTATAATGCTGATATAGGTTTACACTGTATTATGAAACAGTTCTCTTTAAATAATTCCTCAAAATCAAAACTACGTTAATACTAGTTTTTCCCATCTCTTGTCTATTCAATCGGTATTGCATAATAAATCAATAATCATGTGATGATAAGGCAGTTCATTTATGTTTTTGATCTTTGTTATAATCGGTTATGTTTATATAGAAGAGAATAGTTCAATGTGTGCGAACTTAAGGTTTTTAATGACATGATTAGTTAACTCGTCAGTGATTAGCCTTGGATCAAGATATTTACAAAACACAACGTAAAAGAATTAAATATAGGAACATGGCAAAATTTACTAAAGAAGCTGGCGGTTTCTTGCAAAGGCAGTTGATAGAAAAGTATGATAATTGATAAGAATAAGATGGTTCACTAGCTTTATAAAGCAAGCTAATTTAGGAAAGGAAGTATATAAACAAACGAAAAAAAAATCAATTAGACAGACTTCATTAGAAGATGAATAATGTTTTAATAATAAGCGATTATTTTTCAAGTTACTGAATAAAATTCATAACGCAAGATTTTTGTAATTATTTTCCTTTATATATGGATTTAATTGTTTTCCTTTATATACGGACTCCCGAATATAAATTTCCCTTGAATTTTAAAATATTATTCTTTTATGATATATCTGAAAAGCGAGTATAAGAAATTTTTAAAAAAATTCCGCTTTCATTATTCACCAGTTACCCTTGGAATTAATTCTGAATTTTATTAATATATTAGTCGTAATAAACTGATATATCACATTTCTCGTTCCGTTTGTTTCTTCAAACAATAGCCTAAATACTGTAAATTCTTTATGCAAATCAGTTGCCTTCTCCCCTACTAACCATTTTCTCTAATACCTCTATAAAAGGCAAAATTTGTCCGTCGAATAGAAACATATTTTATTATCTCTAAACAATAAAACACACACACACAAAAAAAAAAAAAAAAAAAAAAAAACTTGAATTTGAAATAAGCTGACTATTTTTGGAAACCATTAAGAAAATGCTTTGGAAATAAAGATTAAGAGAATGCTTTGGAGATTAAGATTAAGATAATGCTATGTTTCTCAATACGGTTTCGATTAAGTCGGGTTTCAGTCTAGTGAAACATTATTGTTTATATTTAAACTCGCTAGACAGGATAATAAGCTTGAAAAGTAAGGAATTAAGAAATAAATGTTTTATAAAATGAATTTTTTATAACTTAACTCGTAAGGTTTTATTTAAATTAACCCTATTATTTTGCCTTTCCTATAACTTATGCCAGCTTCCATTAGAATGCAAATTAGTTAAAGTTTTTTTACAGAGCCCTTCGTAGTGTCGTCGGAGATGGTGATCTCGTGTTTGCTTACAAGTGTTACTGTAAATGTATTAACAAGAACATGCTATTTTAAGTTCCGAGAAATAGCTCCTTCTACTCCATAGTCGTAAATTATTTTAAAATGTTAATCTACAGACACTACTCTAATTTTTATTGACAATCGTGTAAAAAAATACCTTTTACAAAAGAAAGTTAACAAATTTTAGTTTTTACAATGGAACTAAATTATCTGTACAAAAGATTTTGTCTCTTTTATGTTAAAGATGAGCCATTTCTTTTCATTTAAACGTCGCTAAAAATGGGGTTCATCTTAAAATTAATGGTATCATAAAATCACAGATATTTTCAAATTATTAATTATTCCAAAAAATAAATTTCTAAGTTACCAGTAATAATACTACTACTGTTACTAAATAGCAATGAATTATTAAAAATACTTGCTAAGTGACTTTTACAGTTTTATTTTATTTATTCATTTATTTTTATTTCTTAAATTTCAGTAATTCCTCCCCCCTTTCAGTTCAGTTTAAAACTAAAGGATGCATCTTATATTCAGTAGCATCATGTAATCGAAGAAATATGATACATAATTTTTGAATCTGTTTAGAAATTTCATTGGATCCTATTCATCATTTTCTTTGATATTCTATGACGTTAAACTTCTGTGAGAGGGTCGATAATTTATTAATGTTAGATTCAGTAGAATAAATCAGAAAAAAATATTTTCATTATGCATGCTATATAGTATGTTACAAACTAACGTATACAAATACAAAAAACGTTTAGTTGCAAATCTGTAATGTGTACGAATCATAAGGCACAAAAATTAAGTATTTAACTGACCGGTGCATAACCCAATGCTAAAGTAAAGGAAGGTGATGCTAGGAGCGAAGGTGCTCACTATCAGGCCAAATGCAGCTAGCAAAGATCCGATAATGGTCACTGTTCTACATCCATATTGATTTGTAAGACCACTTGCGAAAGGACCTAAGGAAAAAGAATAGGAAAGTTAAATCAAGTATAAATATAATAAAATAATTTATACTATTACAAAGGTTCTGTCTTAACACATGGATATTATTCTTTTCATGTATAATGCATTCACATCACTAGATAATAAATAATTACTACTCTTCCCATGGAATTTTTGGTTAAATAAATATTGCTCTCTTTACTATAAAAACTCACAAAAATGTAAAGGTCACTTATTTTTAGGAAAATGAATATCATATCCTTTATCCAACGTGTTTCAATGCCGCTATCATATGCTGCCCTGTTATTTATGTTTTGTGAGAATTTTTTCTAATTACGTAAACAGTTTAATCGTTTTGTAGAGACAGGTATTTTTAGAAGCCGGCAAGATGAAAATTGAGCAAACGGCTTCGCTGGCGATCGAGCCACTGACCTCTGGAACACCGGCCCAACGTGCAGAACCAATACACCACGAAGGCACGCTAGGAAAGTGGGAGAAATACCTTATAATTTTATAAGTTTATTTTCAAGACCATATTCTTAGCATCAAATATGTTGCCTCGCCCTTTGCGCACAACGTCATAATACTTTTGGAAATATTTTCATATTTTGAAGTGATCTGCATTTTCTTTTTATCAGATGTATTAATTTCATAACGTGTGTACAATCTGTCGATGTAACTTAAAAATCGCCGATATATAGACTGACAGATGTAAAAGAGGGTCACTATTTATTATACGAATATTCCCTGAAGTGGGTTAAAGATTTCTTTCCTTAATATGAAAGAAATATAGACCATTTCGCGCTCACGGTCAATGAAATTGGTCCACATCAAATAAAACATGCCTCAATAGCGAAACTGTGTACATGGCTAATGTGTGCGTTGGTATACAAATGATATAAAGTTAGTGCAATCGCGCATGGTCCGCTTTAAAACACCTTCGCAATCGCGACACAGAGTTAAATACCAAAATATCATCGATTATATATGGACGCGAAAAGCCCTGGCTGATGAAATTATGTGTGCGGAAGAAAAAAAGATGCCATTTGCACGCCAGAGATGAGGATTTGTGCACTTGAGAAACTTTCAAAGAGTCAATATTATCAGAATGAAAATTTCAGTGTTTTCAGCGCTGCCAGTAGCCCACCATGTGAATTGTTTCAGCAGCGCTATGCAGCACTGTTGGAAACAGTAGACACGTGAGGTGGGCTATACATGGCACGCCTATCAGGTTCAATGTTCCGTCTTACTTTCTTCGGAAACATGCAAGGACCTGACTCGGAACAGAGAGCTTACTAAAGCTATGTTCAATCACTGTGAGAAGTAGACAGGATACACAAGAAGGGTATACAAAACCCTTTATTTTTCTCTATTTACAATAACTTCCGTACTTCGGAATACACAGATCCACTACTTGTGGTCTAAACGTAAAAATATAAAAAATAAAACTAAACTCTAATTTAACTTTAAAATAATAAACGTGGAAGATTGGCCTTATATTAACAGGAAGCCGTATGTAGTACAGAGAACTGTGAACACTACAATACGTTTAAAAATTATCAAGAGGATTAAACCTCTGGCCTGGAAGGCAACCAGCAACTGAGTAAAACTTCTAAGGTAAGCGGCCTGGTCCGACTAACTGCTTCCTCTCTCTCGCTTGGCAAAAAGCCACAACTTAAATACTTGGCGTTCGCCAGACAAACTTTGCATAAATACATTAACGCTTATAATTCTGGCCGGAAGTAGAAAATAAGAAGTGATAGTAAAGATTTAAAATAAAATAAACGTTAGTAAAACTTAAGATCCTTACACGCCGACTAAGGAAAGGTCACAGAGGCAAAAGATTGTTCGATGTGGATTTACAGATTCAATGGCTACATGAATACTATACGAGCAGCTATAGCGGGTAATGTCCCGCTGCGACGGGCTCGCCCAAGCGACTGGTAGGAGCAAACGACCGGTGCTGCCTGGTGTCGTATCCAGGTGGTGCGCCGCTCCCTTGGAGGGTAATAATGGAGGTTGAACCTCCACGAGGTGTTTAAAGGTGGAGTGGACCTGTAATGTGATTGAGTTACACGAGGCAGGGAAGCCCAAATTGTTGTTGTTGTTGTTATAGCGGCTAAAATGCGTGTGAGAGTTATTATAAAAAGAGCGAATCTGCTTTTATCTGTTATCGCTCAGCTTTTACCTGTTCTGTCTTTAATACCAAAACAATAGACGCTCCATTTCCAAAGGCCAAAACAGCATGCAGCACAATGGAATGTCTCTCTATGACGCTCAGTGATAAGACACACTACGTTCTGAGATCAAATGACCATTGTGTCTGGGTGTGGAGGATACCTGGCTAGCAGTAAAAATCTCAGTCTTACGGTCGGTATTATAACATGAGAAGCCGTATCTTATGTTAATCTGATCGCTTTGGTAGTGATTTGTGGTACACTTGTAGTACACTCATCCAGTTTATCCCAGCGGATAAACTGGATGAGATAGCACAACCACATGTGCTCCAATTCCTTGCCAGAAGTCCTAAAGCATCATTCTAGCAGGACAATGCACTCCCACATTCGTCATGGTTGTCTAGGATTGCCTACATCATATGCAGTCATTTCCATGGTCTACATACTTTCGAAACCTGCCTCCTACTGAGCATGATGAAAAAATTCTGAAAGAAATCTTCCTGAACCTGCCCCTTTTGAAGCAGAGCAAACGTGACTTTTCGCAGTGCTCCAATATCCAAGATTTAAAATGTGCCATACGAAAAACGGGGATCCATGTGTCATAGGACAATATTAGGCACATGGTCTGTATCGCAACAGTTGACTCGCGAGGCGCGGTATACGTGGCAGACTGTCTGAGTAACGATCACAGAGATCAAAAACCGTTCGATAGGGACCTACAGATGTAACGGTCGTGTAATTCCCTTTGTTTGACAGAACAGGATTAAGGCCTACAAGTTCTTGACTAATTCTTGTACTGCTCTGTTTTTGAGATATTGTACATCTTTTACATGTGATACTTCATAACTATTAAATTTCACTTACACCCGTGCATCCTTCCTATTAAACTAATTTTCATTTAAATGTAAAAAGGAACTGTACAGCATATATAAATAAAAATAACTGTACGCAGTAAAAATATATACAGAAGTGTCCGTAAAAGTTCTTACGCGGCCTTAGTCGCAGACATGTTCTTCCAACTACTAATAAATAAATGATGCAAATAGTCATGTTATACTATTTTTTAATTCAGAAAAACAATTTTGCAAAAATTACAAAACCTAATTTTTTTACGGTCCTCCATGTATAGCTAAATTTAGTAAAATTTTTTATTAAATATGCACTTTTTGTTCATTTTATTTTCGCTGCGAAACCAGGTGTTTTTTTAAAAAAATACCTGAAAGCTTTCGCCCAAAGATTTTATATTACGCCCAAAGGAGCGTTTTCAAGTTTTCAGTGTTACCTTTATTTATAAAATATCATGTTTTTCAAACTTAAACGACATAAAATTCAATTCAACAGCAGTATCACGAAATATTTAAAAACAGAACAACTTTAAAATATGGGAATTGCTCTGACAAAGAAAGGGGAGTTTATAAATCTTTATGCTTTGTCCTACTCTATTTCAAAGTAGCAATGAATGTTCAAGTTTCTTTTAAGATTTTTCCAATCAAAAATTAAAAACATGTATTATATGGTCTTTTATTCATTAGCTAAATATCGATGACAGAATACGAAAAATTCTTAATACTGTCGACATTATAAATACATCGGTTACATAATTCAGTATGCAGGTGTGTATAATTTATTCGCCTATACTGAAAACCTTTATGTAAGTACGCCGAGATAAATTGTTGAATACGCATTATATTTTAGCTAATAAAGCTTCTGTTGCAAACCTTTTCTTCCACCCTCCCCCTTCCCCAACATTTTGCAAGCCAGGGCTTCGCTTGTTCCTCTTAGAATACGGAATCTGTATTCGATTTCTCTTTACTTGCACGATTTGATTTTTTTTAAACTTATTTAACCACTGCTGAATTTATTTTTTAGTTGAGGTTTCTTTTACACTCAGATTTAGAACGTCTAGGTAAAGTTTTAAAGTGCCTTGGCGTCCATTAACTTATCCATTGCTTTTTCTGGTACAGTTGTCATTTTCTGCTCTGTTTCTAGATAGATTCCGCGAATACGTTTAAAAGCGTTGGCAAGCCAGGAAGGAAAAAACTTCAGTAATAATGTGTAGTGGTTTGTTTTTTAAACATATGTTGTATTTTTCTCTCTAATTAGTTCCTTAATGCATTACCGAATAGTAATGTTTTCTTCCTTGTGAGTAAAATGTAAAATTTAAACTCTAGGTGGCTACTATTAAGAAATTTTGTAAGATTCCTGTTTTCTTGTATTCCTTTTTATTCATCACATTGTTACGAAATAGCATTTTAAGATTCTTTTTTACTTCAAATGAAGATGTTAAATTTCCTTATTTCTAGTTTATTTTTTCTTGAAAGAGATATTTTCGGCATCGAGCCAACAATTGCCAGAAATCTCAATGAAAAGAGCTGAGACATGTCTGACTGGCAAATTCCCAAACATGAAATGGGGGCGTGCATTGCACGTGAATACTTAACGTTTATTAACCCCCTGTGTGCTGAACAATGCAAGTAAGTAACACGGGAGTTTTGGAAATATACGTTTAACTTTCGTGAACGCTGACAAGACCAATCAGTCAAATTTATTTATTTTTCATGAAAAAATTGTTAAACAATTAAGAAATTAAGTTTAATTCGAATTTATAATTTTAAAAGTCATTTGAATTTAGCATCTAGATAAGAAGACGTAAAAGGTAATTATGAAAATGTAGCAAGGCTTATATCTTTAAACAAATGCTTTATAGAAAACAGCGACATTATTTTTGAAAATGCTTTATTTTACAAACCTCCACTCGAGAAACTCAGAGCTAAAACAGAGTCATTTTATACCTAGATTGAGGATGCTCATTTTTCATTTTAAAACACGTATGCAGG